TTGATCTTTTTTAGCCCTGAAAACGGAAGGAGAACCCTAAAATAAAAAGGTGGATCATCAACTTTTGTATACAGCAGCCTTAAATATAATAGTCTTATTTTGTAACTGACCATTTTTAGCTCAATAATTCGCAGAATAATCAAGGAAATGCAGTCACCCATGTCGGCGTCGGCGTCCGTGGTTAAATTTTTGCTTGTAAGCAAGTGTCTCCATAACTACTGAAGGGAATGGATTGAAACTTCACACACTTGTTCACTGTGATTATCTGACATGATTGGCACAAGTCCTATAAATCCAATTTGCTTTTTAGCTCACCTGTCACAAAGTGACAGGGTGAGCTTTTGTGATCACTTTTCGTCTGGTGTCCGTCCATCTTCCGTCTGTCTTTCCTCCGTCCGTCCGTAAACTTTTAATTTAAATGACATCTCTTCATAAAACACAAAGCCAATTCCATCCAAACTTCACGGGAATGTTCCTTTGGTGGTCACCTTTAAAAATTGTTCAAAGAATTTAATTCCATGCAGAACTCTGGTTGCCATGGCAATGGAATGAAAAAAACTTTAAATATCTTTTTTTTAAAAAACCCTAAAGAGCTAGAGCTTAGATATTTGGCATGAAACATCTTCTAGTGAGTGTCTACCAAGTTTGTTCAAATAAAAGCTCTGGAGTCAAAATTGGCCCCACCCCAGGGTGTCATTGATTTTCCCTATATGCATATAGTAAAAACTTAAAAAATCTTCTTTTAAAGAACCCAAAGAGATAGAGTTTAGAAATTTAGTATGAAACATTTTCTAATGGGTGTCTACCATGTTTGTTCAAATAAAAGCCCTGGGGTCAAAATTTGGCCCTGCCCCAGGGGGTCATTGATTTTCCCAATATGCATATAGTAAAACCTAAAAAATCTTCTTTTAAAGAACTCAAAGAGCTAGAGCTTAGATATTTTGCATGAAACATCTTCCAATGAGTGGATACCACGTTTGTTCAAATAAAAGCCCTGGGGTCAAAATTGGCCCGCCCCAGGGGGTCATTGAATTTCCCTTATATGCATATAGTAAAAACTTAAAAAATCTTCTTTTAAAGAACTCAAAGAGCTAGAGCTAAGATATTTAGCATGAAACATGTTCTAATGGGTGTCTACCAAGTTTGTTCAAATAAAAGCCCTGGGGTCAAAATTGGCCCCGCCCCGGGGGTCATTGAATTTCCTTAAATATGAATAGCAAAAACTTAAAAAATCTTCTTTGAAAAAACCCAAATAGCTGGAATTTAGATATTAAGCATGAAAAATCTTCTAGTGAGTGTCTACAAAGTTTGTTCAAATAAAAGCCCTGGGGTCAAAATTGCCCCGCCCCAGGGGTGTCGTTGTTTTTAACTATATGACTGTGTATAGTTAAAACTTTAAAAATCTTCTTTTAAAAAACCCAATGAAACATCTTCTTATGGGTGTCTACCAAGTTTGTTCAAATAAAAGCCCTTGGGTTAAAATTGGCCCTGCCTGGAGGGGGAGAAACAAGGGCGGATCATTGTTTTTCATTATATGTGTGTCGTAAAAACTTAACATCATGAAACATCTTCTAATAAATGGGTGTCTTACAAGTTTGTTCAAATAAAAGCCCTAGGGTTTAAACTGGCCCCGCTCCAGAGGCCTTTATACAGGTAAGTGATCTCAGGGCTATCATGGCCCTCTTGTTTGTTTAAGTTTTTGCATCTCCGTAACTATTGAAGGGAATGGATTGAAACTTCACACACTTGTTCTCTGTGATTATCTAACATGATTGGCACAAGTCCCAGAAGTCTTATTTGCTTTTTTCCATAATAATTTCCCTTTTCCCCTTAGAAGTTCTTGGTTAATTTTTTGTGTGTAAGCAAGTATCTCAATAACTACTGAAGGGAATGGATTGAAGTCCCATAACTCTGATTTGCTTTTTTGCATTATTATGCCTGTTTTTCGAGTTAGAAATTCTTGGTTAAGTTTTTGTGTGTAAGTATCTCCATAACAACTAAAGGGAATGGATCACACAATTGTTCTCTGGGTTTATCTAACATGATTGGCACAAGTCCCATAACTCTGATTTGCTTTTTTGTATAATTATGCCCCATTTTGGCCGGGTTGCACTGGTGCACCAAGTTTGTTCAAATAAAAGCCCTTGGGTTAAAATTGGCCCTGCCTGGAGGGGGAGAAACAAGGGCGGATCATTGTTTATAGTATGGTGAATGTTTGGCGGCGGGTGGCGGGCGGGCGGGGAAAAAATCTTTCGTAACAGTTTTCTCAGCAACTACATATCACAGACTTTTGATATTTGGTATACAGCATCAACATATGGTCCCATACTGTAGGATTCGATTTCAGGTCTGTTGCTCATCTACTTCCTGTTTGCCGACTTAGTTAAATTTTCAACATTAATGGTCAATAGTAGGAAATTTTCGTAACAGTTTTCTCAGCAACTACTAATCATAGCCTTTTGATATTTGGTATACAGCATCAACACATGGTCCCATACTGTGGGATTTGATTTCAGGTCTGTCGCTCATCTACTTCCTGTTTGCTGACTTAGTTAAATTTTCAACATTAATGGTCAATAGTAAGAAATTTTCGTAACAGTTTTCTCAGCAACTACTTATCACAGCCTTTTGATACTTGGTATACAGCATTTGCACATAGTCTCATACTGTGGGATTCGATTTCAGGTCTGTCGCTCATCTACTTCCTGTTTGCCGACTAAGTTAAATTTTCAACATTAATGGTCAATAGAAGGAAATTTTCGTAACAGTTTTCTCAGCAACTACTTATCACAGCCTCTTTATATTTGGTATACAGCATCAACACATGGTCCCATATTGTTGGATTGGATTTCAGGTCTGTCGCTAATCCACTTCCTGTTTGCCGACTTAGTTAAATTTTCTACATTAATGGTCAATAGTAAGAAATTTTCGTAACAGTTTTCTCAGCAACAGTTACTACTTATCACAGCCTTTTGATATTTGGTATACAGCATCAACACATGGTCTCATACTGTGGGATTCGATTTCAGGTCTGTCTCTCATCCACTTCTTGTTTGCCGACTTAGTTAAATTTTCAACATTAAATTTTGACATTATAAATGATCAATAGATAGTAGGAAATTTTCGTAATAGTTTTCACAGCAACTACGTACCACAGCCTCTTGATATGTGGTTCACAGCATTGACTTGACTGTGGTCCCATATGTGGGATTCCATTTCAGGTCTGATGCTCATTCTTTTCCGGTTTACCAACTAAGTTAAATTTTCAACATCAATGGTCAGACAGTGGTAGAAAATTTAAGTAACATCACAGCCTCATGATATTTTGTATACATAATTATGCAACCCGGACTTTTCTGTCTTTGACCCATTTTTTGACTTAGAAATTCTTGGTTAAGTTTTTGTGTTTAAGCTGGTATCTCCATAACTACTGAAGTGATTGGATTGAAACTTTACACACTTGTACTATATGATTATCTAACATGATTGGCACAAATCCCATAACTCTAATTTACTGTTTTGCATATTTATGCCCCTTTTTCGACTTAGAAATTCTTAGTTAAGTTTTTGCATGTAAGCTGGTATCTCCATCATAAACTACTGAAGGGAATGTGCTTTTTTGGGACAATTCTATGTAGGTATTATATATCATTATTTTACTCAATGAAACACCCTAAAAGTGTGACAACTTTTTTTAATAGTCAAGCATCTCTGTCCTCCGACAGTTCTTGTTATGTTTATCTATGTAAATTTAAGACAGAATGAAAAAACATAACTTTTTTGAACTCACCACAGACCAATAGATTGATTACTGCCAAACTTGGGCCCAGGGTGTACAGCATCTTTGGTTTGATTTAAGGGTTAATAATGTCAAAGTTCTAGTTGTAAGTAAAGACCCATTTAGGGGTCTTTAATTTACTTTTAAATTTTATCAAATTCTTAAATGTTATATGATTATTTTACATGAACTGAAAGTGATTAGTCCTACATGCGACCAGTATAGAGAAAGGCCAGTCTGCACATCTTTTAAGTCTGACCAGGCTCTATATGTTTGACTGGCCTATTTTAAAATCATCATCTAAATATCCCTAAAATTAATAATGGAAGTGTGTCCTAGAAATGGAAGGCAGACAAGTCCATTTTATAAATTCAGAAGAGTAAGGGATGCAGGATCTTCTGTATTGTTATGAATTTGATATTTGAAAGAAAGATAGTATTTGAGCCGCGTCACGACAAAACCAATGTAATGGGTTTGCAACCAGCATGGATCCAGATCAGCCTGCACAGTCTGATCAGGATCCATACTGTTCGCTTACAAACCCTATTACAAGTAGAGAAACTGATAGCGAACAGCATGGATCCTGGTAAGACTGCTCGGATGGGCAGGCTGGTCTGGATCCATGCTGGTCGCAAACCCATTATGTTGGTTTTGTGGTGACGCAGCTCATTTATATATCTTGTGTGCAAGTTTCACTTTACTGTGTGAATCATATATCAGGTTATAACAAAGTGACGCATCATGTTTCATTGTGGAAGTAAAGTTTAAAATAGATTTGAGATATATGATACCAGAAAGAGGACATTTTATGGCTACAATAAATGATAAAAACAATATGGAATTATAACATAAAGATTGGTTATCAGATATCTATTGTATTTGATCAGTGAAGGACATTTTTTGATTTTTGATTTAGAATATGAATGAAAAAGAAATATAATGACTGTGAACAAAAACAACTGAAGGTATAGATCAAAACTTTACCTAATGAGATAAATTTATTTTAGTTTGGTTTTATTTGCAGCAATACAGTAGAGGTTATATGGCAACTGTTTCCAGCTTAATTGGTGGATGAAGACCTCAGGGTCCCCTCTGTGCATTATTTCAGGCATGAATGAGCATCTGAATAAAATATTTTACTGGCAAATAATGTTTAAACAGTTTCAAAGTAATGATAGAAGAAGCTGTTTTTAAAATTTTTATTTTTCAATTTATTTGAAAGGATATCTGAAGATATAACACGAGCAATGTGTGACAGTGAGGAGAATTACCAGGATATTCTACAGAAGAATTTCTATCTGTTTAGTCGGTACATTGTAGCGGAGGACTTTCTCGAACAACTTATTAGTGAAGATGTTCTAACAGTTGATGATAAGGAAGTTATAACAAACAAATGCATCCATCATAATCGCAGAGAGAGGGCAAGTAAGTCGATGTTTTCAATAAACATAATATTGTTTGTAAAAATGCATTTTAGCTCACAAAAAACAAGGTCAGGAAACTTTAAATTCTTTTTCTATAGCATTTTGAAGGATTGGTAATCTCATTTATTCAAGGTTTGGTCAGTGTTGTCATAATTTTCAAGTACTTTCTTCTTATTTAGTACATCAGTGATTCATACATGATGGTGATTAAGTTTTCTGGTTAGTTTATTTGTAATGTTAAATGACTTAATATGGAAAATGTAAAAATAACTTCCATTCATGAACCTTTGAATGAGTCACAGCCATAGTCTAGGCCTCTTTTAGGACTCACCAAGGCTCAAAATAAAGAAATTTTAAAAAGGTCCCAAACTGTTTAATAATTTATGTTTCTTAACTGAAAGATTAGTACTTGACATATACTGTACCATCACTGGATGGTATGGTGTCTCATCTTTGTATTTTTTCTGCATGTATGAGAGCCTTCTAAATATTTCCATTTGACTAAAGAAAATAATTATTTATGAATTATTTCTTCACATGAACATAATGGTAGCAAGGATCTTCACTAAAGCATTAGATAAGTTTTCTATCAGATCTTTTTATATATCAAATATTTATTTTTTGAGTGACTTATGACCATATTGTCTTTTTATTGTAACAATTATACCACATACAACTAATATTATCTGTATTTACAGAACAATCATCATATTCATTATGAATATAAATGAGTAATAAAATAGTAACCTAAAATTTTTATAAAAAAAGCAATTTTGACATCTGTGTCTTGGTCAAAGTAGACTTTAGATTTTGTCTAAGTATAAATCTATAAGTTATAATCTGGTGTTGATACTTGGCTGGTTTTGAGAATTTTATCAATGGCATGGCTTTCATGTTCATTTGCATTTTTCTTTTACACATAAATTGTAAGAGATATAAACTTGGCAAGCCACTCTGCTGTGTCATTTAGTTAATGTTTATTATATATCACGATTTATAAATTGTCAACTAAATAGATAAGAAAACTGCTGTAGCAGGAAGAATATTCATGACCTATTTAAGAGTTATTTGAGTCTGTATTTGAATCTTAACATAAAAATTATGCAAATAAACTTTGCTTTTTTTTCTATGAACATGATTTCTAAAGATATTATAATTCTTTTGAAGTTTAAAGTATAAAATTTTGACAAATGATTGATTGGGACAGCAGTGTATATACGTACATTTACTTTAACATTTATATTATCAGCATCATTATTAGATCAACACTTAGAGAGTTTGTAGATAAACTGTATATTTTATAGAGAGTTTGTAGATAAACTGTATATTTTATAGAGAGTTTGTAGATAAACTGTATATTTTATAGAGAGTTTGTAGATAAACTGATTTTTTACTTATAAGACACTATCTTATTTCCAATATTTTAGATAAATTGGTAGAGATTTTGATGACTAGAGGAGAAAATGGTTACAAAAAATTTCTGGAGATCCTGGAGTATCAGTATCCCCATGTCTATCAGGATGTTACAAAGAAAGAACCCAGAGACCCCCCACCAGGTAAATTGTGATATTATAATGAATTCTGGTAATCCTTTGTTGCCTTTACACCTATTCTTTTCTTTGAACACCTAACTGTAGTAATATTTGTGTTGACATTTTTAAAATTTTAGAGATTTTTTGAAGAATTGATAGATCCCTACTTTGACCTTTCATTTGAATAACAACAAATGGACCTTTCCAGTGTTTAGAATTTTATGTAAATTGGCTAACTTGTTATCCAATAGCTACACGGAGATAATATATAGTCATTGGTTGACCTGGTTTGCACAAAAGAACAGTTGGGTTATGATGTTTGTGATACTGTTTGTGAGCAGTTGACCTAGCAATGAATGGAAAAGGTGTGGCTAAATGTTCCGCTACAAAAAACCGGAAAGGTCCATTTAACCACAAACATTGACATGTGATCTTTTGTTAACAAATATGTTGTAGTGAATTGTATCCACTAATCTGATAATTAGAATTAAACAGGTCAGGGATCCTTGCATAGAGGGGAATTTTATATTTTATCCATCTTTATGTTTGTCATTCTCTTATTACTTTGGCTAAAGTTTTGCCTTCTTCTATGACTTAATTTCTCATCATATAGCAGACATTTGGTTGAAAACACACATCTGTGAGGTCACTCCCTATGACACATATATCAAGCATAGGTTTTGAATGAATTAGAATAATGGTCCTTTGTGGACATAGAAAAATACTAGGTTAAAGCTTGGTGTGTAAGATAAGTCTTCAAACTAGTACTACTAAAGGAATTTAGTGAAGCCTCACACATGTTGAACTCATAAACCATGCTATGTATATGTATTTTGAATGAAATGTTCTTATTTGTGAATTCCTACATTATCTAGGCTCTTGTTTTACCATCAAGCATTCTAGCAAGATGTAGCATGTCTTGTTTTTAATTATTTGTTATAATATCAGGCAGTACTAGTAAATGTCTATGTAACAAATAAAGAACATTTAACATTATTGTTTGTTTACTTACAGGATTTATACGTAATCGTATAAGTGATCGTCTGAGAATTATTCGTAACTTGCCAAATCTTCTAGAACAAATGAAAGTACAAGTAGAGGAGAATTCTGAGCTGGAATCTCAGCTGTGTGTGCTACAACAACTATTAGAGGTGTCAAAGGAAGAAAATGCCGCCCTTGAGGTTGTTATTCTAACTAGAATATTATCTTAATAAGTTATTTGTTATGTACAGTAATGAAATAATTTCAAATTTAAATCTAGTTAATTCATTGGTAGTCATAGAATACAACAGTCATATGCATATAACTATTTGCAACAGGAAAATAAGTCACATGAAGGTTGGTTTCGTACATTTAAAAGTATTCAGTATTGATCAAATGGTAACTTTTTTGTTTGGAAAGATGTAACTTAAACCTCTCCATACTAAATAAGATAATATTTTAAATGGACTTGTACATCTTTATACCCCAGACAAACAAAGTTTTTGGGGGTATAGTTGAGTCAGTTGGTGGCCAGTCGGTTGGTTGGGCTGACAGGCAACCTGTTGCAGATTTCTTGTGCTGGACATAACTCAGAATGAACAAGAGGTATTAACTTCAAATTTTGTAGGTAGATAGATCTAAATGAGTAGAAGTGTGGTGAATAAGAGCCGTAACCCTTCCTTCCCTAATTTTGAAGTCATTGCCCTTTGTTCTTTTTTACACTTTGAAATCTGTTTGGGAAATAACTTGAGAATTATAAAAGGAATCAACATGAAACTTTGTAGGAAGATAGATCTCACTGAGTAGAAGTGCAGTGTAAATAAGCACTGTAACACTCCCTTCCCTAATTTTGGAGTTATTGTCTTTCATTCATTTTTACACTATGAACAATGTCTGTGGCATAACTTGCCTAGTTTCTTTTCCAGTCAAATACTATTACAGATGCTGATTTAAAACTTCACAAGTGGATAGATCTCATTGTGGTGAAGTGCAATGCACAAGAACCATAATTTTCCCATTCATTGTTCTGCATTTATTGTCTTTTGTTGGTTATTTGTTGTCCACTCCATAGCTCAATTACTATTATAGCTACTGACTTGAAACTTCACAGATTAATAAATATCATTGTATGAAAGCACAGTAGTGTGCACACTTTATAAACTTGTGAACACTCTACTCTTGTTACTTATTACAATTACATTGAATTACAATAATTATTTAACAAAGAATACAAATAAAATACCTTGAAAGTTGAGTCATCCAAACTTTAAAGATCCTGTAACACACTTTTTTCATGGTTTTATTTCATAAATATGATGCTCAAATTAAGATTTGTCAATATTGTAAGTTCCAATAAGCATTATTTATAAAGATATTACCCAATTTAACATTTCATGTAAATAAAGGGAGGTAATTTGAAATTTATTTTCTATAAATTCTAAGTCAAATTTTCCAATAAGAAATGAATGCATGTAATTTACTGATTAAATATAATGTGCACAAATATTTGCAGTACACATTTTCCATATTCTCCGATGTTTGAAAATTGTTTCATTTGCATAATTATACTGGGATCCTACATATTTACCGGACAAACAGTTTACCGGACAAAATCGATTGTTGTTTAATATTGCTTTATTTTTGTTTCAAATCAAAAGCCATCCGGTCTGAATTGCACACACACTTTCAATTTCGAAGTAAATAACAACAAGACCACTCTCATGTACATATCGTTGATTCAGTTTTTTATTTAATTACATGCCCTTTCGTTTACTATTTTATTTCATACCTGGTCATGCGGGGGAGTTATGTGTTTTGCGTATGCCCGAATATTGAGGCCCTAAATGGATTATTTAAGACAGGTTTTACTATTATATCTTCTCTGCATTATCTTAGCAAGACAATCATACCATATTTTAATAATAAAAAGTATATCCAAATTTAATCCAGACAGTATTCTTTGTTGTATTTTATAGGGAAATGCAAAGTAAAAACCACATTAGGAAACAGGTCACGCCCGATTTTTCAAACCAAGAGTGAAACTCTTTATGAAATGTTAATAAAATATATTGTCTGGATTTCACTTGCTTCACGATGACCAAAATGAAATTGTATGACAAAGAACAGAATTAGAAATGAATATCAAAATTTACGTTTACTGATTTATGATGAATCAATACGATAATTGAGTTAATATTTAGTCCAGTCATTCTATTTATAACCTAGAAAAAATTGCAAAAGAATTAATTCCTTGTGCATCGTACGTAACAATGCCTAATTAAGACACAATGTTATTTTTAAGCCTCATTTCAATGGGGAAAGTGTAAAAATCCAACAATGAAAATGGCGAAAATAATACATTTTGAAGATGTCCTGTATAGTACACCATTCAGGTGCTTTCTGTGTATATGACGTCATTAAGTGACGTGAAATCATATAAAATGGCGGATGCGTTGACTCAGGCCGGTGTGTTTTTTCAGTAACAATAATTGGTGTGATGGTAAGCATTTACTAGAAATATAAAAGAAAGTAAGTTATCTTTTGTAATAATTCCTATAAATTTTGAATTTCAACATTAAACAATGTCTAAAACCTTTGATATTTAAGCCAAAATCGAGTTTACAGCAGAGAAATGAACAATACATAATTATGCATCAAATGAAGGTTAAATATCTCTTTTTGGCCCTATAAATTTGTTGAAAGCAGATGATCAATTATTTTATATAAAATATATGTTATTCCTGTGTATAAAATCATTTTTTATATAACCGGTAAATAAAAGTCTGCACAAACAATTAAACTACGGAAGCGTGTTTGGGTCAAAATTCGGAAATTTAGAAAATAAATCTTAATTTTTTTTTTTGCGATTTATGACAAAGCTTTGGCTAAATAAGTCTATAATGCATGTTAAATGAATAAGTTTAAAGTACTTTTTTATTTGTTTCATTTTAGATTGACCTTACTAATCCAGTGAAATAAGTTTGCAGGAGAAGTCTTTAACTTGAAGCTGGTTCGTTACGTGCATGTAAACGTTTAAAGGTAAAATAGATACTTTAATAATGTTACCAATGTACAATATTAAGTAATATAATACTATTCAGTTAGTTATATTCTCATGCTTTCGCTGTCATTTCATATATACTTTTATGTGTAGTAAACTATTTTCGTGGATATGAAAGCTTAATATAAAAGTAAAAAATAATACCAAGCCACTGTATAGAAATAAAAGTAATAAAAGTATTTTTTCTCTCAGGTAAAAGACATGTGAACTTGAGAAATGAAGGTGTGGGCTGAACTGTAGGAACTTAAAGCAGTGGTAAGTGTGTGTTTTGGTTAGATTTTTAACGTGTGCTATTGTCTATGAAATTAAATAAAAAAATATAATTAACTACTCCTGATACCATTTAATGTATTTTCATATTGTATTTTGCAGAAATATCAACCTGATTGGTTCTAATGAGGTGTTACAATAAAGCAGTCACGTGTAGTATTATCTGAGGTAAGATCATATTTCAATTGAATAAAAGGTATGTGATGTGTTTTCAGAATAAAATCAATTGCTCTGTATCATAAAACAAACATTGAAAATGAGAATTTAGCAAAGCAAAACATGCAAAAAAGAATAGCAAACTTGTTTTGATTGGGGCTGCTAACGAGTTGTTCCCAGAAAATGCAACCCCAATTTGGCAGCCAGCTCCCGTCAATATCCATTTATTGTCGGTGAATATATATAACAATTAAACTTAAGCTATAGGTGTAGCTTTTGGCAACTCTTTATCTATCTCTATCATAAAGATTAATGTTTATACAATTAAAGAAAAATATTATTATTATTATTATTATTATTATTATTATTATTATTTAAAGAAAACCAGATTCTGGGTTCTATATGCTTTGTTTGTTTTGTTTTTTCAGACATAGTGTGTAAAATCATGTAAAATCTTTGGCAAGACAAGCAGATCTAAAAGCGTTTGCCTTCTACATTCATGTTCATGGTATGCTCTATTATTTTACGTTATTAAATAATTTTAAACCAATGACTACTAACAAATAGACATTCTATTACGATATGAAAAAATATGCCTTCTAAGGACATTATAAAAGCAAAACAATAACAGACCCCATTTGATTGGGACTGTCAACGATTGGTTATATAATATCAACACAATTCACGCCATCTTGCATGTACAGTACATAGCTAAATAATATGATGAAAACATTTCATCACAAAGAACTAAAAATGTAACAAAAATGATTCAAAACCGAGGGTGATTTTTTACTGGTGCCACACAAGCCAATACTTTATATTAATTCGGTCTTTAATCAACTCTTATGTAGATAGTTTTAATATTTCAATTTATGTTGTAGGGCACAACATGATGGATGACCAAGAGAACAGCAGACGTTTGAGATCAGAAGAGAACTTTAATATAAAATCTGACTGCTTATTCTGCACAAATTATGCTAAATCAAACAAAAAGAAAAGGGGTGGTGATGTGTGGGATGTTAAAACTTTAGATTTTCAAGATACAATTATTCGGAAATGTAAAGAGAGAAATGACTTGTGGGGTATTGCTGTGCTTGGGCGAATAGAACACATTATTATATATGGTTTAAGCAAAGAAGCAGTACTGAAGCTTTTCAGAACCAGTTCCGAATTTAGACCTGTTATTGAGATATTCAATGGAGCGGAGCCAGATAAAAACGAGATTTCAACTCGTGGTGAGCAGGCATTGATTCTTCTCAACAATGGTATTCCTTTAGAAGGGCTTGATATCCTGAGGTTCCGTAAGTTTACACAAAAGGTATGCACAAGCAAAACATCCGTCCAAGTAGAGACATTACCACCGACCACGGCTGCATTTTTGTATCACACACTGCGTACATATCTTCAGACTCAGATATGGCTTGGAAATAATGAACTAAATCCTGTAGACTGGGGATGGGAAGTAACTAACAACAAACTATATCCAATAAGGACACATCTTCTGCCAGCTCCGGAACCTCTACTCAAAGTTGTACGATGTAATTGTAGACAGAACTGTGATTCAAAACGGTGTACGTGTAGGAAACATGGATTAGATTGTTCACAAGGTTGTGGGGCCTGTCGGGGGACCTGCTCGAACTCTTCCGCCCTTAATGAGAATGACGATGATGTGTCTGAAAACTGAATAACTGTGATGGTCAAAGACCGAAAACCTTGTATTAGTATTCATTTGCATTGTAAGAGGATTAAGAACATTGTTAGAAATCTTTAACTCATATGTACGTTGTAATGGATTACCGTATACACATCAGTTTTGGTTAACTTATGTTTTTATTTAACAACCAAACTTGTATTTTCTTGTATACTATATAAATACAGTATATATTTGTATGAGACTGTATTTCTATAAAGCTCAAGTAAAACAAAAATGTGGTGTGTTTATATTATTGTTTTATGTAATTCAATTGCATTCTAGTAATTTATAAGCATACAAGTGCTTATTTAATATATTTATTTTGTAGCTGTAGTTGAAATATTTAAGTCTCACTAATAATGATAAATCTACTCATATGTATGTTATAATGCTATCGTATTTCATAACGAATCAATTTCGTTACATACCTACCAAATCCTGGTTTTGTAAAAATAACAGTTTCTGTATTGACCACGTTCATTTATAGTCCATATACCTTGATTGTGTAATAGCCTTTTGACAAACAAAATGTAACTAATTTGAATTGTAGCTTTAATTTTAGCGACCAAAATTATCTATATAATTGACGGTTATTTGCAGATATATATGTATATGAATTTCATTTGATATAAAATCAAAATGAAGCTTTAAAAATAAAATGAACTTTGAAATCAATTGGGAACAAGTCTAAAGGATATATATTTTGTGTACAATAGAGATTTTAATAATTTATGTCATTTTGTATTTTAATTATTGTAATATTTCTTTTTGAAATAGGTGGAGTAAACTATCTACCCTTTTGTCATGAATGTAGTAAAATGGTTGAAAGTTAGTTTCTTTATTGTTTATTATTACTTTCAAAGAATAACACTTAGATACATCAACTGAATGATATGTTTCAATGAGTATCTTAAAAGTAAAAACTTGAGAACGTGTTGTCTTTGCTGAAAAAGTGGGTGGGGTAATATTTTACCCCCGACATATGACAAATATGATCTAAAAATGGCCAAGTTTATGAAACCACAAGTTTCTACAAACATGTTTTGTCTTTAATGGCTCAAAAACAATGAAACGAACAATTTAAACGGAAAAACATAGAAAAATTAAACAAGCTCTGTCAATTCAGTCTAATTCTAGCAAAAGTTTAAGGCATGTTTTATTTCAAATATTTGAGTGTTTTCCGCCTAAGCAAAACAGTTTAAACCCTTATCACGTTATTCTACACATATAAAAATACTTAAAAACATGCAAATAAATTCTTTTGCAATTTTTTCTACCTTTGGCCATTTTCGGGCTAGAATGACTGGACTAATTGTGAATGTCCATTACATCCCATAAATAGGCCTCTTCGAAACAAGCATGGATACTGTGTCTATTTTAGTGACATCTTTGGGTTTTCCAGTATCTTAACCTTGCCATTCAATTGGAGTATTCTCCTTGTAGATTATTAAAAGATTAATTTCAATTCATGACTTCAAAATATTATGAAACACAATGTCCAGTAAATTGAGTTTTCTACATGATTTTTTTTCTATAATAATGCCCCACTTTGAAGACACATTTTATAGTCAAAATGTTAAATTTCGTGTTTGATAAGGTCAGTTTTACGTGAATTAGGAACCTAAAATCAATTGGGTAAAATTTCAGTGTTTTTCATGGTTTTTAATAAAAGTTACAGCGAAAAATCTTCATATTTTGTCCGGTAATATGTAGGACCCCAGTATACATATTTAACTTTTTGCAAGTGTTGTATACATACAGTAACAATATCAATCACAAAACATACAGGATCTTTAATTTATATTATTGATGTAGGACAAATAATTCTAAATCATTTTTAAATCCATAAACTACTGTATTCTCCTATAATCGGTGTATATGCAAAATGATTAACTAAAAATATGTTTTCTGACAAGTGCATGTTGGGGGTATTCTGCACTTGTGAAAAGCTCTAGTTTTAATCCGGATAAAACCATTTATAATTTCTAGGGAAAATTCCAAAACAATTAATGACTGAATAGTGAACAGTGCACATCATGGTCAGACAAAACGATACCCGTAATTTGGGTAAAATCAATGTAATATACATTTTCATATGCAAATTGATCTTAATAATAATGAAAAGTGTATAAACAATACTCACTTACTTTATAAATGTTCAAATTTGATGTTTAAATCCTTTTTCTATTAGCAGTAAGGAATTGACTTCCCTACCCATAGCAATGGGCTATTGCCCATTCGAATATTGTAGAAAAGTAGATAAATGCATAATAAAAATGCATAATGCATAAAAGTATCCCATGTATTCTTTTGAATTTCATTATTTTAAGAGTTATTGTATTTTTATACATTTATCAAGACATATAAGCTGTAATTATATCTGGGAAAAAGTGATACTTCAGAATCATTTAAAACAGAAAAATGACGTGAAAATTGCAGACTCGGTTTGTTTGAACATGAGGGATAACAAATAAGTACCCCAACCCTCATGCCCCCAGCTTGAGCGGTACTCATTTCTCAACACTTAAAAGTGCTGTACTCAGTGATCATTGACATATAAGAAACATTGTGAATTCATTTACATAATATTTCAGTATATCAGTATATGATTGTATTTTTTGTTTGACAGAGAGAATGTGAGATGTTGAAAAATATCAGACAGGAGAACAAGCAACTTCTACAGAGAGTGAAATGTTTAGAAACAGATAACTATGAACATCAAGTTACTATAAGTAAGTTGTAACATTGGAAAATAAAATGAGCCGCGTCACGACAAAACCAACGTAATGCGTTTGAGACCAGCATAGATCCAGACCAGCCTGTGCATCCGCCCAGTCTGATCAGGATCCATGCTGTTCGCTTACCAACTCTATTACAAGTAGAGAAACTGATAGCGAACAGCATGGATCCTGATCAGACTGCGCAGATGCGCAGGCTGGTCTGGATCCATGCTGGTCGCAAACCCACAATGTTGGTTTTGTCGTGACGCGGCTCAAATAACTTACATATAAATGTTCAGTGAAGGGGAGTGATGGCATAGTTGTCAAAGTGTCTGTTTTTCAACCCACTGGTGTCAAGACCGGATTTCTGTCTACATAATACCATACTGTGAAAGTGTTCAGTCAAAGATATAAACTGAAAAGTATATTAACCCTTAATCTTGTGAATTAATGTAATGGATTTGCCCTGCTTTGATTTTTTGAACAGTCCATTCAAAGTTTAACATGTTACATTAGCAAAAAACAAAATAATATTCAGAAAATAACAAAATTCTATCAACCAGTCTTGTTCAACAGAACATTTCAAAATTTTATGGGACATTAGGTCATTTTTTTTGTACAATTTAAGTATTTCTTTGCATAATACAGGCAACATTTATGGTTAATTAATCATGACCAGAAAGAGTACTGACTCAATAATGTTTATGATTCTATACATGTATGATTAGTATGTAATAAAACTTTAGCTTACTTTGTCATGCTTCCTTATATTTATAATGTACAGTCAACTATCGTTATCTCGACCTTGCTTTTCTCGATATTTCGTTATCTCGATGAAATTTTGAAAGTCCTGATTTTCTTCCTTCTTTATCTATATTGGAAATATTTGTTTATCTCGATATTTTTATTTCGATTTTTTCAGTATCTCGATGTAAAATTTCAGCCCCAACATTATTATTTTCACACTATTTTCCTTTGTTTATCTCGACTTATAGTTTTCTTTCATCTGTTCCCTTCAGAGGTGTGAAAAACACAAACTAGACGATTATTGCTCAATAGCGCGCATCATAATGATGATTATGTTTGTGACAAGTTTATCTGTTTTTATAAAAAATAATCTATTAACGTGTTGATTGACTAAAGTCCAAAATGAGTGAATGATACGTTCTTTATAAATATTCGAACACTGTATCAATTCATTATGACTTTAAATGTAAATGAAAAAGTGAAAGTATAGAAACGCTATCGTTGCAATATTGTTTCACAACATCACCACTAAATCAATCAGTGGTCGAACAATCTCGAGAAAGATCCGATAACTAGCCCGGGAGGATATCCGGATCAACCACCCTGATAACAATGTTTTCACTTTATTGGTGTATTACTGAGTAAACCTCACTATGTATTTTTATCACAGACACCCGTATTTCCGCTGGTAAACATCCGCTAATGTTACTTTGTTAAATATTTACTAGGCCTATGAAAACAAGACATGGGGATATCATAGTTTATTTGACATAAGGTATGCACATGTCTTTTGTAAAAATCAGTTTCTGCCTTATTCAAACCCTAATATGTTTATCTCGACATTTCGTTATCTCGATATTTTTTAGACGGTCCCGATGACTTGTAGATAACGAAAGTCGACTGTATTTAGAAAATGTCCACTTCACTAGGACCAGATTATCAGTTCCTAATTTCATTGTTCATTATCAGAAATGGCCATATTTTTACTAACAAAATCAAAATCAAAACTTAAGTTTCCTCCCTTATTCAGAATGAATGTTAGTGTAAAGCAGACATGATATTAACTATGATGGCATTTCATTAATGGTTGCATTATGTGTTTTTGTTTCAGACACATGGACAACAAAGTCCTATCACCTGATGGAGTCATTGAACGAGAATAAAGACAAGTGTTGTGATCTACAGGTGAAATATGATCAACTCTACAAGGAGTATACAGAACTAAAACAGCAGAAAAATCCCACAAACCCTGCACCAGGTATTGTTTGTCTGTCTTAACACTGTAGGTATTCACGTATATTTATGATCATAATATATCATTATCATTATTATAGGTCACTTTAAGTACAATATGGATTTTCTAACAAATGACTGACCATTATAAATGCAATAAAATGCCCTCGTTTTACATAGACTATTTTGTTATGTATGTGAATCCAGAGTAAATTTTAAATATATAATTGATTGAAAAAATTCTGATCTACTTCCTTTTAATTCTGTGATATTCTAACAAAACACTCAGATGACAGCCAGATAGCTCATTACAATTATCAGTTAGAATTACTTTAATGTGATTATAAAGCTGAGGATATGCCTTTAAGGACAGAGGCATCAGAATCACAGCCACTGTTTATCCCTGCATAATGGTAAGAGTGACTTAATGGGTTTGAACTACTGGAGTGTATGCAGCTCCAGCAGGTGGGGTGGTATTGACCCCTAGTGTTGTCTTAAGTTTGTAACACCTGAGGTTAGCCAAAATCATTTTTCCTGTTTCGGCGCCATATGACCTAAATTATGTTGGTGCGCTGTAAAAGCAGACAAAACAAAAAAGCTCTGTTTTAAATAATTATTCACATTTACAATTATGATGTTATAGACAAAGTGGAAATCCCATGGAAGGAATGTTTAAAGACACCAAATGTAAGTAGTTGTTTGTTTTATATTCTTTATAATCATTAAATTATATTGTAGAATATTCTGATTGTTCATGATTGCTACTTTGAATAGGTTGATTGCAGTAATTAGTAATTGTTATATTATATATGCATGGTCTGCATGAATTCTTTTGTTTAAGAATTATATATCATGTGTAGAAAGCTTAAACTTAAATGAACTTTTATCGTTCCTGAACCACTCTGAGAATGAGGTAAAGTTCTGCTCAGGAAAAACGATTGCCTGATGGTTGAACATGGGCTATGCATTATATAGTCTGCTCATTAACATTGCCATGCGCATCATGAAACCTAATTCTATTATGAACAAGATGAAGACTAATGGTCTCTGATACAGATAAATTTGTTCTATGTATTCTACAACATTTCCTACGAAAATTACAAATATTGTCTAACTTCAACTTTCATGAATATTGTGCATTATCATGCATAATAAGTTGGATACTGGTCATTGTATATAATCTAAAAATGATGATATATTACTGCAACAAACTTCCAGTCTTATTTGAACTCTATGTAAAATAATCTTTCTCTTGAGAGAAGATGAAAACTATTCAGTATCATATTTCTATATAGAAGGCGTGTGTGTTGACTTTCAGCCACGTGTTGACAATGGTGACCATTACAAGGCTAAAGTTGAGATATTAGAACAGGAGCTGGACAGCTATAAGACTCACAGTGAGGAACTGTCAACAAGTCTTCAGAGAGCTAATGACATCATACAAAGTCTGGAAGAGGAAAATGAAAAGGTATTTCTCGAACACTTTTTACAATATTATCACAGTAGGATGAACTAATACAAATGTTAAATTCTTCAAACATTATTGTTGAAGTCACTTTTATGGATATTGAAACAAAATGGTAGCATTATTATATATCAGTTGTTTTGTAGAAGTCAGCTTTTTAGCTCACCTGTCACAAAGTGACAGGGTGAGCTTTTGTGATCGCTTTTCGTCCGGCGGTCGTCCATCCGTAAACTTTTACTTTAAATGACATCTCCTCATAAACCACTAAGCCAATTTCATCCAAACTTCACAGGAATGTTCCTTTGGTGGTCACCTTTAAAAAGTGTTCAAAGAATTTAATTCCATGCAGAACTCTGGTTGCCATGGCAACCGAAAGAAAAAACTTTAAATATCTTCTTTAAAAAAAACCCTAAGAGCTAGAGCTTAGATATTTGGCATGAAACATCTTCTAGTGAGTGTCTACCAAGTTTGTTCAAATAAAAGCCCTGGGGTCAAAATTGGCCCCGCCCCAGGGGGTCATTGATTTTCCCTATATGCACATAGTAAAACCTTGAAAAATCTTCTTTTAAAGAACTCAAAGAGCTAGAGCTAAGATATTAAGCATGAAACATGTTCTAATGGGTGTCTACCAAGTTTGTTCAAATAAAAGCCCTGGGGTCAAAATTGGCCCCGCCCCAGGGGGTCATTGATTTTCCTAATATGTATATAGCAAAAACTTAAAATATCTTCTTTGAAAAAACCCAAATAGCTACAGTTTAGATATTAAGCATGAAACATCTTCTAGTGAGTGTTTACAAAGTTTGTTCAAATAAAAGCCCTGGGGTCAAAATTGGCCCTGCCCCGGGGGTCATTGATTTTCCTTATATGTGTATAGCAAAAACTTAAAACTCTTCTGTGAAAAAACCGAAATAGCTAGAGTTTACATATTAAGCATGAAACATCTTCTAGTTAGTGTCTACAAAGTTTGTTCAAATAAAAGCCCTGGGGTCAAAACTGGCATCGCCCTAGTGGTGTCATTGTTTTTAACTATATGTGTATAGTAAAAACTTTAAAAATCTTCTTTGAAAAAACCAAATGAGCTCAGATGTTTAGCATGAAACATCTAATGAGTGTCTACCAAGTTTGTTCAAATAAAAGCCCTTGAACTAAAATTGGCCCTGCCGGGGGGGGGGCTATATACAGGTGAGCGACCTCAGGGCCATCATGGCCCTCTTGTTGATTTTGAGATTGAAACAGTCAGGATAAAGATTCGTTTGTTTGTTTGTTCATTGATTCATTCATTCATACATTCATTTGCTTGTTCATTCGTTTGGTAATTTGGTCATTTGTTTTGGTCATTCATCCATTTGATTGTTTGCGAATTTATTTAGTAATTGATTAATTAATTTATTTGTTTGTTCATTCATTCATTAGTTTGATTGTTCATTTATTTGTTCATTTGTTCATTTATTCATCCTTTCATTCATGTGAATAAAATGGTTCATATATATACATGTATATATACTTGTATATATAAATTATATTAAATGTACATAATATGTACATATTTATAAAATGAAAGTTTTGATTTTAGATGAATAAGGATTTAAAAAGGTATAGCAAGGAGAAGAGACTGTTGGACAAACAACTAACTGATGCTGATATAAAACATGAATCTTACTTTAAAACTATACAGAAGAAAAATGATGAAATAATCGAGGTGAGTATACTTATAAGTAGTTTCTAATGGCCTCTTACTAAGTTGTTTTTAGCTCGGCTATTCGAAGAATATGGAGAGCTAATGCAGTCGCCCCGGCGTCAGCTTCTGCGTTGGTTAAAGTTTTTTGTAAAGTCAAATATCTCAATTATTGCTTGAGATATTCAATTGAAATTTACAATACTTTTTTTATAGTAACAGTGTTCATCAGTTTGCAAAGTTGCATAACTCTGCCTACAATATTTGCAGAATTATGCCCTTTTGAAACTTAGAAATTTTTGTTAAAGGTCTTAAAAACTATCAAAGATATTTACTTGAAACTTTACACATGTACTTAGGGTCATAATTGAAGGTCACATCTCAAGATTCATTACTCTGCCATGTATTTTGACTTAATTATGCTCCCTTTTGTACTAAAAAAATCTCCTTTTCTTGTTGTTAAGTTTAACAATCAAGTTTTGCATATCTCTGAAACTATTAAAGATACAAACTTGAAACTTCATATGTATATTTGTGGTCATAAATAATGATCACTGATAAGCACTCATATCTGTGTCTTGTTTAGGCTGATTTATCTCCCCCTTTTTTACTTAGTCTCTTGGTTAATGTGTACATGCAAGTTTTACATATCTCAATAACTATCAAAGATATTTATTTAAAACTTCACATATGCATTAAGGGTCATAATTGTAGGTCACAGACCAAGATCCATACTTCTATCTTGCATTGAGGCTGATTTTTCTCCCCTTTTTCAACTTAGAAATTCATGGTAAAGTTTTGCTTGTAAGCTGTTATCTCCATAACTACTGAAGGGTTTGTGCATTTTTTGAGACAATTTTATGCATTCATAATATAAAAGCAGTGATTTACTTGATAAAACATCTTAATTACAAGCCTTTGTACCTTTTCGGTCAATTCTATGTATTCATAGGTAAGCATTATTATACTCAATAAAACACCCTTGTGACAACTTTTTTGAATAGTCGAGCCTTACTTTCCTCCTACAGTTCTTGTTTATACAACCATTATCTTGGCCATTTCAAAATGATGCTACAGTTGTAAGGGAATGGTCAAATGTTGTAGACAGATACATTTGTTTTGTATATTGATGCTTGTTAATAATGGGAGAAAAGACAAGGTTAGATGATCTTACCTTAAGAAATGTCTTACCTTTATGAATGTCATATATCAGCATGATTTCCCTATATACATGACATACTGTGTTTTAAGTACTAAGTGCTGTTCTTGATTAGAAATTTGCTCTGTGATATATCTTACTTAGTTTAATTCTTTGGGACTGATAATTCATTTTTTGTGTTTCTATAAAATTGAATTCATGAAAAAAGTAAAACTTGGATGATAAATATATGAGCTGTGTCATGACAAAACCAACATAATGGGTTTGCGACCAGCATGGATCCAGACCAGCCTGCCCATCCGCGCAGTCTGATCAGGAGCCATGCTGTTCGCTTTTAAACCTTTTTAAAAGTAGAGAAACTGATAGTGCAGAGCATGGATCCTGATCAGACTGCGCGGATCGGATGCGCAGGCTGGTCTGGATCCATGCTGGTCGCAAACGCACTATGTTGGTTTTGTTGTGACAAGGCTCATATATTTTGTTTGTTAAAAAGTTACAACAGCGCAGTATGGCAGAACAACAAAGATTAACGGAGCTAATTCGAGAGAAGGCGGAACTGTTTGAACAGAATCACCAACTAGAGGTTAATCTGCAGTCATGTAGGGCAGAAATTGACAAGATCAAGGCAAGACTGTCTGGTAGCAGTATTGAGAATACAGGAAGCAGCCAGGAAATTGGGGTATTATATACTGTAATATTTTTAAAGGGTTTTATCTAGTTAGCGCTGATTTCGGATACGCGCCTTCACATATATTAAAGGCACTTTACTAACATATTTATTTAATACAAGCAATTTGAAAGAATTATTTTCTAAAATTCAGACATTAATTTTTACATCAGATATACACACTATTAAACAAGTCGTTCTATCACATAAAACAGTAGATATATGATAAATGTTGAAAGTTCAGTGCAAAAAGAAGTCTCAGACTTACAGCCCATTTGATGTGTGATGAAGATTATCTTATTTTTGTCCTTAATTAATAGGCATGGATTTTTTTACAAAATTTAAAATCTAAAATCCTAAAAAAATTATAGATCTGAATTAGATTTTATTGTTTATACTTGCAGAGCAGTGGATCTGACACAGAGCTTCTTGAGGTGAGATGTACAAAAGTTTACTTGAGAAATTATTTTCGTCAGAGCGATGGTTATCCGCTATTTAAAACTGGTTTGAGCTGTCATGTGTAAGAATCAACCATGAAGTTAGTTGGCCTGAGTGGTTAATTTGTGGCATCAATATGACAAATAGGTGTTAAATAGGCGATAAACACCACTCAGACCAATATTATTTCAATTCTAACATGACCAAGAAGAAAGAATAAGGGAGATTACTTGCGTTATTTTCAAGTAGAGATTATTTCTACTACTGATTTTTATATTTGGCTGTTCTATTCCCCACCTTACTGTAGCTAAAGTGATAAATAAAACAAAACAAAAAAAAGACTTTATCATTTGAAGTATCAGTACATACATTGTAGTTTTAATTTTCAAGTTTTATTTTATCAAATAACATTACATTTATATAATATTGCTTTAAATAGATAAAGATAGGATTCAAAACTCACCAAATTGGTGTATTTGAGATTTTAGCATGATTTGAAAAGAAAATATGATAGGAATGGAAAATACCATTGTTTATCAAACTTATCTTAGGGAGTACATGATGTAACATACCGGTATATAAAAGAACAATATATAAGTGGTATTTATGGTTTTACACCGCTTATTTTCTCTTTCATGTATAGTGACAAAATCACAAGTCATGTTAGAATGTATGTTTAATGATTATAATAGTTTATTCTTTCTGCTAGTCATGTCTCAGAAAACTGTAGAATCAGTAGGCAAGCTAGATTATGTTTTACAACAGTGATGCATTGTTTGTCATTTGGTTCTTATACATTTAATAGAAGGTCGTCCATTAATTAACTGATTATCAATAAATCTATGATAAAAGTTTTTTAAAATGCATTCTTTATTAGGGTATTGGAATGATAATTGCAATATGAATAAAAATGCTGACCTGTATATGCTTTAAGATTATAACCAGGAATTTGTAGTGCTAGTTGTTTTTATTATTGCACATTGATGAAATTCCCTTTTCATCTACTATAAGAGATTCCAACCATCACAAAGGCCAAATGTTTTCTTCAAAGGTCAAGAAACTGGAAGTATTGGCTGATGTAGGTGCCAAGTCCTAAGAATATAACATATTTTACTGCATGTTTTGTTTCCCAGGAACAAACATCCATCATTCTTGCCATGTGCACACATTCATGTATATAAAATCAATTTACATGTGTCTATTAAACGAAAGCGTTTATTAAATATTTTGTTTCCAAACATTTGTGAAATATTTTGTTTGTAGGACAGAAATAGAACATATAGAAGAATAGAAGTAAGTATAAATATATACACATTGTATTATAGATAACAAGTGTATGTTTTTGTGTAGCACGTTTGTTATTTATTAACTTCTGTTTTTAGAGTGGTTGATGCTTCTTATTTAATTGAAAATTTTTTATCTTTACTCATTTTATTCCATGTTTGTATGCATGAAAGCATTTTTGATGTTTTTCTGGCACTTATTGAGAAAATATAAATTGTAACTTTATACATGTAAATACATGTTTTTATATTTTTGTACAAATATATCAACTTGAATGCAAAATTCTGCTGTACTTTATGCATGTTAACTATGAGACAGCTTTACTTTAATGTACACACACCAAATATAGCAAAAATCTTTTATCAAATGCACTTGTTTATGTATGTTAGTTATAGACAGATTCACCATATCATGTTGGTAAACTTCAGCAATACTACATGTTTGGTAAATACACCTTACACATTTTTATTTTATATCTCATGTATTTTGGTTGTCATAAAAAATTGTGGTTTGTTTCAAGTTTAAAGGATATACAATTCCATGTATCAATGCCAAAATTGAAAGTACATTTCATAAATATATTCCGAGCAAAATCTCAAAATTGCAGAGGAAAAGGTTAAAAGACAAACAAAATATATGAAGTCTAATTATCATGGTATTGTTTTAGGGCGCATGTAAACATCACAAGATTAAAGCTCAAACATTGTGTATTGTCTTTTTATTACTTTTTGAATATGAAAAGATTAACACTTTAAGTCCAGCAAGAAGGGAGGGTGACGGACCTTCCTGAACCTGTTACAATTTACATATTCATTTCCAGCAGTGTTGTTTTTGTGGTGTGACTAGGTGCATATTTTCTGTGAAGCAGTGAGTTTTTGATGTTTTCATACATCTTGGTTGCTACTTCTTTATAGTGCTCATAAGGTCAACGCGCAGGGTCTGCAAAATCAAACACTCATGAATTAAATAGAAACAATAATAATTACAAAAGATAAATTATTTCTGCTTTTATCTATCTATGTTTGTTTAATTTATAAATGCTCTCATATTTTAACAATGCAGTGATATGTTTATCTGGGCTGTTTATTTGTTAACTATGCAGTGTTGCACAATTATTCTGGACTACACACTGTTGCTGAACTATAATATATTTACACATTAATGAATTCTGCTTTATCAGTGTGTATATTGAACTTAATATATTGTTTTGAGCTTAAACTTAATATTATAATGTTATTTTGGTTTTTGAGTGATATATGTAGATATATTACCTGTCAAGATTTTATATCAGCCGAGCCGTTAGGCGAGGGTGATATTTTATCTTGGCAGGTAATATATCCACATATATCACTCAAAAACCAAAATAATAATTTTATTACCCTTCCCCTGTCAAGCTTAGACGATTTTAAAATAAATCATTGCTACTTTAAATGAAACTTCGAAATAAGATTCCCTTTAGGGTACCCCTTTACCACAACGTCACATAAATACATGACGTATATTCTTTCGAACGTAACGTATTTAAACAAGAGAAAAGTAGTCTGTTGAACACACTTTTTTAGAATTAATATCAAGCTTTCTCAAGGTCAGATTTATTTTCAATACTGATGAGAATATGTATCATTACTCTATTTTGGTAAATATTTATCATTTGACAGTTAAAAAGTGCTTGTAAATCGGAATTTACATTGTGTAAGATCAAACCGTATGCGCATCGCCACAGTGCACATTGTTTACAACGTCGGGTACCTGACGGGGAAATTTAGTGTGTATATTACCCGTCTGGCTTGGTAATATCAATTTCTTTCGGGTGATCAATATCCAATCAAAAAGGCGGAAAAATCTGGAAGGGTAATAAACTGTTTTGAGCTTGAACTAAATATATTGTTTTGAGCTTGAACTAAATATACTGTTTTGAGCTTGAACTAAAAACACTGTTTTGAGCTTGAACTAAATAAACTGTTTTGAGCTTGAACTACATAAACTGTTTTGAGCTTGAACTAAATATTTAATGATATGTGCTTGCCTTTTAAGGACTTGCTTGATTTTGATATGGAAGTTCAATATAGATCTGTACGTCAGGTAATTGATAATAACTACTTATTCATTTTATCTCCACTTTACTATAGCTTCAACTTACCTTCACAATTTAGTATCATAAACCCACATTTCTCCAGGTACATGTTATAATAGTGATAATGTCAAACTTTAGTACCTAACTGTTGAAACATATAATTGTATTGTTAGTACTGCTTGCTATCAACTAGTCAGCTAACAATATTTAGATCATTTGCTTGATTATGTTCTTTTTAAAGTTAATTATTAATCAGATTGCTAAAATCTTTTGTGATGTTTTTTTACATAATTATATATAGAAGCCTTAAGTATCTGTTTTAAAATTTATCATAAACTGTTCAAACATTTGAATATATTTTAAAGACTTTTGTTAGAAATGAATAAGCAACACCTTTATGCCATTATCTTACTTTATGTTAGTAATTATGCTGAAATGTTTAATGTATTCAAATGTGTGATAGATTTTCCTTAGTTATGTATCACATTAATATATTCAATGTAGATAAATAAATCATTAATTGAGCCGCGTCACGACAAAACCAACATCATGCGTTTGCGACCAGCATAGATCCAGACCAGCCTGCGCATCCGCGCAGTCTGATCAGGATCCACGCTGTTCGCTATCAGTTTCTCTAATTGTAATAGCGTTGGTAAGCGAACAGCATGGATCCTGATCAGACTGCGTGGATGCGCAGGCTGGTCTGCATCCATGCTGGTCGCAAACGCATTATGTTGGTTTTGTCGTGGCACGGCTCAATTTAATTATTTTCTTAACCAGCTGGAACAGAAACTGATCAGTGTTTGGCAGCAACACATATGACAAAACCAATATGTTGAATTATTCTGACCTTAACCTTGACCTTTATTTGACCTTGACAATCTTTGGCAATTCTGAACATCCATGTAGTCTGACTAAGCTCTATTGTTGACAGACTAACTTTAAAATTTTATTTTTTGTATTTTATTCCCAAAATTGATAAGTTGGATAAATCAATTGATGAAATTCAGCAAGTAAAGGGTTAAATTTGCATCATATATATACTATTTGCACAGACTAACATTGGTTGCACTTTATATCTAGATATTTTGTAACTATGTATCTACAGTTGTACAGAACTATAAATTTCAGAGGCGGAAAGTTGTGAAGAAAGGATACACTGGTGAGAAGTATGCTGATAGGCTGGCAAGTCAGAGACGACACACCCCAGGGGCGGATCTTCTTGGTACTTATTTTTTTATCATTGTTATGAAAGTTTTAGCTATTTATTTAAGAGGGGTTGGGGGAGGGGGGAATTGAATTAAATTGTGATCGTGACAGCTGCTTAGCTCATGCTAAAGGGTCAAACATATCAAGAATAAAGGTCAGCTTTTGTTTGTCTGTTTTCTTTTGGCCATCACTTTAATTTTCTTTTATGAACTAACAATGCTTAGAGCTTAGATATTTGGCATGTAGTATTTCCTAGTGGACATGGACAAAAGTTATATAAATTATGTCAATGGATCTTAGATGAGTAACCAATAGCCATTATGGCCTTATTGTCATTTAGTCTGAAAATATTTTCTAATGAGTGTTACTTTGCAATGTGAGACTCTAATTACCAATCAGTGTTATTTTCTTTAGGTGACTTTTTAATGAAGAAAGGTATTTATTTCTAGAAGACTTTTTTCTTTATTTTGTTCCTTTCTGCTTTCTCTAAATCTCTAAACAAAGATTGAAATTAAGTAATAAGTTTTCCTTGTTTGATTGACTATTTTGAGTAAAATGCCAGTCACAGAGTGCCATCAAATGATATGATTTTTTTGTTGTTTGTTTGACAAATATGATCTTACATTTGTTGTTATTATCCCCCCCCCCCCTTTTAAAAAAAAGTAGGCTTATTTTGCAAATGTGGTTGTAATGTTGGTACACCCAATGGGCTCAAGTAATACAAACCATCAGAATAGCACATTCATGCAACATTCTCTAATGTATAACATTTTTATGAACAATAAAGGATATATTTGGACTTGTACAAAGCTTGAGAAATTATATTTTACTTGTCCAGCAGCTTGTCCAATTATGTTTCGCTCATCCATATATATTCCACAATTGTACAGTTCAATGTGTAATAACCTATAAATATTATACAAGTCTAGGAATGGTCTATAAAGAAAGTCTGTGGCAAACTTAATGAAATTTCTCAGACAGTTTAAATGAAATGATGACAAATGTAAGACTCTTTTTATCACATGATATTTTGGAGCAAAGAAATATCTAAATACTCAGCAGTCTCTATTTGATGTGCCATTTTTGATTTGTCATCACCCATTGACTTTGACATTATATTGAGTACATAACATCATGACTATTTATTTTAAACATGCGTCTTATAAAGACTAAATGAGTAGATAATTTTCTGTCTGTCTTATAATTGACTGTCTTATGAGTAACCATGTCTAATAAGTGACTTTGTCTTATATGTTATACTGTATTATATAAGTGTCATTGTCTTGAAAGTAACCCTAACTTATAGTCTTACCAGAATACCTGTCTTAAAAGTGAACTTTTCTTATAAGTAACTGTTACTTATATGTGATGCTGCTTGTAGGTAGTTGTATTCCTGTCTTGTACATGTAAGTGACATTGTCTTATAAAAAATGACTCTGCCTTAAAAGTGAGTCATTTTTATGAGTAATCTTGTCTTATAAGTAACCCTGTTTTATAAATGACTTAATTCTGTCTTATAAGTGAATCCTTTTTATGAGTAATTTTCTTATAAATAACTCAGTTTTAAAAATGTCTGTTTTAAAGATAACCATGTCTTATATTTTTCTGTCTTATAAGTAACTCTGTCTTGATTGTGACTGTTTTACATTTGACTTTTTCTGTTAATTAAATGACCATTTTTATGCTCCCCGAAAAAATTTCGGGGGAGCATATAGTCGCCGCCTTGTCCGTCCGTCCGTCTTTCCGTCCGTCCGTCCCCTTTTCTTGTCCGGGACATAACTTTGAAACAACAAGAGGTGCACAAGAACCGTAACTCTGCCTTGTCTAACTTTTGAATTATTCCCCTTTGTTTATTTTTACACTTTGAACTTTGTCCTGGACATAACTCTAAAAGTATAAGAGGTATCAACATGAAACTTTGTAGGTAGATAGATCTTATTGAGTAGGTGTGCAGTGCACCAGAACCGTAACTCTGCCTTGCCTAATTTTTTAATTATCCCCCTTTGTTTATTTTACACTTTGAACTTTGTCCGGGAAATAACTCTAAAAGTATAAGAGATATCAACATGAAACTTTGTAGGTAGATAGATCTCATTGAGTAGGTGTGCAGTGCACAAGAACCGTAACTCTGCCTTGCCTAATTTGTGAATAATCCCCCTTTGTTTATTTTACACTTTGAACTTTGTCCGGGACATTACTCTAAAAGTATAAGAGGTATCAACATGAAACTTTGTAGGTAGATAGATCTCATTGAGTAGGTGTGCAGTGCACAAGAACCGTAACTCTGCCTTGCCTGATTTTTGAATTATCTTCCTTTGTTTATTTTACACTTTGAACTTTGTCCTGGACATAACTCTAAAAGTATAAGAGGTATCAACATGAAACTTTGTAGGTAGATAGATCTCATTGAGTGGGTGTGCAGTGCACAAGAACCGTAACTCTGCCTTGCCTGATTTTTGAATTATTCCCCTTTGTTTATTTTACACTTTGAACTTTGTCCGGGACATTACTCTAAAAGTATAAGAGGTATCAATATGAAACTTTGTAGGTAGATAGATCTCATTGAGTAGGTGTGCAGTGCACAAGAACCGTAACTCTGCCTTGCCTAATTTGTGAATAATCCCCCTTTGTTTATTTTACACTTTGAACTTTGTCCGGGACATTACTCTAAAAGTATAAGATGTATCAACATGAAACTTTGTAGGTAGATAGATCTCATTGAGTAGGTGTGCAGTGCACAAGAACCGTAACTCTGCCTTGCCTAATTTTTGAATTATCTTCCTTTGTTTATTTTACACTTTGAACTTTGTCCGGGACATAACTCTAAAAGTATAAGAGGTATCAACACGAAACTTTGTAGGTAGATAGATCTCATTGAGTAGGTGTGCAGTGCACAAGAACCGTAACTCTGCCTTGCCTAATTTTTGAATTATTCCCCTTTGTTTATTTTACACTTTGAAATTTGTCTGGGACATAACTCTAAAAGTATAAGAGGTATCAACATGAAACTTTGTAGGTAGATAGATCTCATTAAGTAGGTGTGCAGTGCACAAGAACCGTAACTCTGCCTTGTCTAATTTTTGAATTATCCTCCTTTGTTTATTTTACACTTTGAACTTTGTCCTGGACATAACTCTAAAAGTATAAGAGGTATCAACATGAAACTTTGTAGGTAGATAGATCTCATTGAGTAGGTGTGCAGTGAACAAGAACCTTAACTCTGCCTTGCCTAATTTTTGAATTATCCCCCTTTGTTTATTTTAACACTTTGAACTTTGTCCGGCACATAACTCTTAATGTATAAGAGATATCAACATGAAACTTTGTAGGTAGATAGATCTCATTGTATAAGATTGCAGTGCACAAGAACTGTAACACTGTCTTGCCTACTTTTGGAGTTATTGCCCTTTGTTCATTTTGACACTTTGAACTTTGTCTGGGACATTACTCTAAAATTATAAGAGATATCAACATGAATCTTTGTAGATAGATAGGTCTCATTGGGTGGAAGTGCAGTGCTTAAGAATCATTACTCTGCCTTGCCTTATTTTGAAGTAATTGCCCTTTGTTTATTTTTACTTTTTGACTTTTGTCCTGGACATTACTTTAAAACTATTAGAGATATCAACATGAAACTTTGTAGGTAGCTAGATATAATTGGATAGAACTGCAATGCTTAAAGAACCTAAACAAAGCCTGGTCTAATTTTGGAGTTATTGCCCTTTGTTCATTTTTACACTTGGACTTTTACCCGGGACATAACTCTGATATCATCAGGAAACTTTATAGATAGATAGATCTCATTGAATAGAAGTGCAGTGCAAAAAAACATAACTCCGCTTTGCCTAATTTTGGAGTTTTTGCCCTTTGTTCATTTTTTTTTATACTTTCCTGTGTCCAGAACCTTCTCGGGGAGCATCACCCAGTTCAACCGGTTCTTGTTTATAAGAACTTAAAGTGATCCTGACTTATAAGTGTCCTATCTAACAAGTGTTGTTTTTTTAAGCAAATTAATAAGGTGTGTTTGGTGAGCTTTTGTGATTGCATTTCGTCTGGCATCAGTCCGTTCATCGTCCATCCGTCCATAAACTTTTACAAATCTCCTCACAAACCGCTAAGCCAATTTCATCCAAACTTCACAGGAATGTTCCAACCAAAAGAAAAAAACTTAAAATATCTTCTTTTAGAAAACCAAAAGAGCTAGAGCTTAAATATTTGGCATGAAACATTATCTAGTCAGTGTTCAAATAAATGCCCTGGGGTCAAAATTGGCCCTGCCTCGGGTTGGGGGTCATTGATTTTCTTATTTGTATATAGTACATACTTAAAAAATCTTCTTTTAAAAAACCCAAATAGCTAGAGCTTAGATATTAAGCATGAAACATCCTCTAGTGGGTGTCTATGAAGTTTGTTCAAATAAAAGCCCTTGGGTAAAATTTGCCCCATGCCAGGGGTCATTGATTTTTCTTATTTGTATATAGTAAAAACTTAAAAAATCCTCTTTTAAAAACCAAAATAGCTAGAGCTTAGATATTTAGCAGGAAACACCTTGTAGTAGGTGTCTACCAAGTTTGTTCAAATAAAAGTCCTGGGATAAAAATTGGCAGGGGGTCATTGTTTTTCCTTAATGTACATGGTAAAACTAAAAAAAAATCCTCTTTTAAACACCCCAAAGAGCTAGAGCTAAGATATTTAGCATGAAACTTCTTCTAATGGGTGTCTACCAAGTTTGTTCAAATAAACTTAGGTTAAAATTGGCCCTGCCCTGGGGGTCATTGTTTTTCCCTATATGTATATAGTAAAAACTTAAAAAATCTTGTTATAAAAACCCCAAAGAGCTAGAGCTTAGCTAGAGCTTTAGCATGAAACATCTTCTAATGAGTGTCTACCAAGTTTGTTCAAGTAAAAGCCCCTGGTTAAAAATTGGCCTTGGCCCAGGGTCCTATATACAGGTGAGCGATTTCAGGTCATCATGGCCCTCTTGTTTATTCTCACAACAGTATTTTAGTAATATGACACTTTATCTGTTAATACTAAGATGAATATCATTTGCAAAGATAGCCTGATTCTAGTAAGACATACACTGCTCTTACTACATTTAAGATCATGGTGAAAGATTTTCTATTACTCATTTTTTCACTGAACTCTGTAAGGTATTTTTTTGTTACCTGGGTAAACTATTTCATGACCATCATCTCCTCTTGTATGAAAGAGTGCATTATGCTGTCATAAATTTTAATATATGTAAGGGCCTTCTTTGTTCTAAAATTTCATTGAAGTTTTTTGTTTGTATCATCCATGGTTTGACTGAATCCTTTGAGATATTGCTTTGAATCATGGAATACTTATTTGTGACCTTCACACACTAACATTTAGGCTAGAGCACATACATCTATATCAGTATTCTGTTAAAGGAACACTTAAGTTTGTTGTCTTATGCACAGCTCTTGTTTTAAAATTTTTGAAGTAACTTTTTTTCTTGTAGAATAAAACTTTTGTGACATTTTATGTTTAAATGATTCACCCCTGTTACTTTTTGCTTCATGTATCTTCTTTTGTCCTATCTTTATCAATCCAAAGCTTTCTCAGCTAACCGTTTGTTAATGCGAACAGTTTATGAAATTGTACCATTTATATTGATGAGAACTGTTGAAACAGTAAAAAAGTGGTTCTCTTACGCCTGTAAGTAATATGTAACCAGGTTTTTCCAAAGAAAATACAGGTACTGTTAGGAGATTGATGAATGTTTTAGATGGCTGTTACGGCAGGTGAAAAAATCTGTTTTGTTTGCAACTGCTCATTCAATTTTCTCAACTAATTTCAACTAAGCTTTCACAGAAGTGTTCTCATGAAGTGTATTGGCTCATATTGTCAGGATTTTGTGATTTGATTATTTTAAGCTCAACTTTTCTACATGTATTAAACAGCGGAGTTGTTGTCATGACCTAAACAATCTGATTATGTACTAATTGGCAAACATAGCTTCCCCTGTAACAATTGTAATTTGACCTGAATGTTTCTACAACAACTTCAATTGCCTTAAAAAGTTTATACATGAACCAGTAAAATAAATTAAATGCATGTCATTCATTTTCATTATTATAATTAATGGCACCACCATACATATGTATATATCCTCTGGAAAATATTATATTTTTTGTATACAAGAGGACTTAAACACAAATTCAAAAAAAGGAATAGTTTTTAAGTTTCATATGACATGTTAATAAGTTATGTTGATGTTAAAAAAAGTTAAGACTGTTATATTGACAAGCCTGTTGTGATAGTTATATATTGATATTTGAGCCACGTCACGACAAAACAAACATAGTGCGTTTGAGACCAGCATGGATCCAGACCAGCCTGCGCATTTGCGCAGTCTGATCAGTATCCACACTGTTCGCTATCAGTTTCTCTACTTGTAAAAGGGTTGGTAAGCGAACAGCATGGATCCTGATCAGACTGTGCAGATGCGCAGGCTGGTCTGGATCCATGCTGGTCGCAAACGCATTACGTTGGTTTTGTCGTGACACGGCTCAATTATGTTTGTTTTGTTTTACCATAGATGATGACATGAATGACTTGAATCATAAATCTTACACATTACCTGCCAAGGCAAATGAGACCCCGGAGAAAATGTTTCAGCGAGAGGTTGCAAATTTTAGGTTCTCTCAAAAAAATATATCTACATCAATGAATGTGAACACTGGAAGTTTTCGGGATAGCACACCTGTGATGTTGAATGAAACACCTGAATTTGAATCCATACATAGAAGAGGTATGTTACTTTGTCTATGAGGCATATTGAATGATATTATGAGGTTATATTATATATTGTTTAGTACATTATTGAATTCTGTTGGACAAGTACAAAGCTGTCAATCCTATATTGGACAAAGCGCTTAAGTCCAGTTTTATATAGTTTTTTTTTTAACTTTGCACAAGCCCAGTTGAGTCAGCATTGTGTTCAACAATGTAATATAATGACCCCTTTGTTTCATACCACCAATTACTTGATATTTTGAGAGAAAAAATTGTTACTTAAACTACAATAAGGATTTGATATAGATTATTAAAATGAAGATGAGGCTAGATGGAGTACAATAGCGATTTAGCTGTCTTTTTTTTATATGGTTCTCCACTATGTTGGCATACTTCTTTATTGAAGGCCACCAGGGATGTTTATTGTCAAACTCCCTGTTTTACCCATCCCTTACACTTTAAAACCAGCTGAAGACAGTAGATCTCGTATTACTCTGTATCTGCAAATTTTTGCAACTTTTTATCTACAGAATATTATAAATAAACAAAAAGCTACACAGTGGTTGTGGCAGATTTTTGTTCTTATTTAAAAATTTGCAGTTACTTATGCATTTGCTATGCTAGATCTGCATTATTTAAAGGCCATGACATCATACAATAATGCAACCTGTCTAGTTGATGTTATGCCTTAAGCAGACAAAATTTCACACAACTTCATTAGACAAGAAAAATCAATATACTAATTAAATGATTAAACTTTCAGTATGTAAAAAAGAAATGTGATCCTCTGATAGTGCTTGTGAGTTGTTTTGTATGATATATTTTACTGTTGCAGTGCCTATGAGTCATTTTGTATGATATATATTACTGTTGCAGTGCCTATGAGTCATTTTGTATGATATATATTACTATTGAAATGCTTGTGAGTCATTTTGTATGATATATATTACTATTAAAGTGCCTATGAGTCATTTTGTATGATATATATTACTATTGAAATGCCTGTGAGTCATTTTGTATGATATATATTACTATTGCAGTGCCTGTGAGTCATTTTGTATGATATATATTACTATTAAAGTGCCTGTGAGTCATTTTGTATGATATATATTACTGTTGAAGTGCCTGTGAGTCATTTTGTATGATATATATTACTATTGCAGTGCCTGTGAGTCGTTTTGTATGATATATATTACTATTGAAGTGCCTGTGAGTCATTTTGTATGATATATATTACTGTTGCAGTGCCTGTGAGTCATTTTGTATGATATATATTACTATTTGAAGTGCCTGTGAGTCATTTTGTATGATATATATTACTGTTGCAGTGCCTGTGAGTCATTTTGTATGATATATATTACTGTTGCAGTGCCTGTGAGTCATTTTGTATGATATATATTACTGTTGCAGTGCCTGTGAGTCATTTTGTATGATATATATTACTGTTGCAGTGCCTGTGAGTCATTTTGTATGATATATATTACTGTTGCAGTGCCTGTGAGTCATTTTGTATGATATATATTACTGTTGCAGTGCCTCTGAGTCATTTTGTATGATATATATTACTATTGCAGTGCCTGTGAGTCATTTGTATGATATGTATTTACTGTTGCAGTGCCTGTGAGTCATCATTTAGCCAAGTATGAGGAAGTAGTACCTGACACTGCCAGTGAGAGTACAGTGTATATACCACGTACATCTGGAGGAAGTCATGATGAAAGTCGCAAACTAAGCACAATACCATCTGGTTCATCATTTGAATCTTCAAATACTTCAGGTTTACAGCTTATTTATGTTTATTGCATAATTTTATTTTCGGTAATAAAAGTTGATTTAAAAACACATGTTATTATCACGATTATCTAAATACGTACATGGTTGTTAGAAATTTTTAGGGTTGTCGAATAATGGGGTTAGGCTGTATATTAAAAATGGTACAAATTTTTCACAGAAATAGAAATAAAGATCAAAAGTAAAATAAAATTAATTAAAGTAAATAAATCAGCAATCGACGGCAGTTTTAAATGTGTTTGCTGTACATGTAGGTAAATCCTACATTAGAGAGACAGGTGACAGTATGAGGTCAGCAAATAAAAGACAGGGTGCAGAATGTGACAGCATCATTAGCCAATCAGATAGCTCCAGTGATAATAGTGTTATATCTGACTTCTCCAGTCATGAAGTTTATACAGCACTATTACCAAAAGATTGTCCAACGTAAGCTTTATTGGAAGTTACTTAAACCATGACTATATTATATAATTATTTACAGAGTCTAGACATGCAAAGTGGCTAGCCTTTCTTAAATTGTCCAAATAATTCAATTCCTAAAATTACATGATGTTACATATAAAATAAAAAGAATAATAATGGATTAAATTAATATAATATCTTAAATAAAAAATCTGTTTGTCTTTCCTTGATGTTATAGGTAAATATTCATCAATTTTGACTAGCGTTGGATCATTCACTTCCAATCTAAGTTATCGAGCAAGTCCACTATCAACTTTGTGTGTTATAGATGAAACCTTTAAACATCTAATTATGTTAGAATTTAACTTGTGAACCTTGTTATAAGCCATGCTTGTGTATAATCTTTTGTGATCTAGGAGTGGTGGCTTAGTGGTTAAGGTATCTGCCTCTCAACCCAGGGATCATGGGTTCGAACCCTACTTGCATCACGACCATGTTTCTTCATATGACACCAGTTCTGGTTGGTTCCAGGAAGAGAACTCAAAAGTGATTTATATAAGTTGCAAGACCTTGTTTCACAATAGAGCATAAATAAATATGTTTAAACTATATCTTCTGTTGGAGGTGTTTGAATAAATAAACAAACATGGATAACTTACATAGTAAGATGTTTTATTTCTAGTGAAAATCGGACAGGATTGCCAGACAAGAACATGAGCAGACGTATCAGGATGAAATACTCAAACCTGGACAGGCTAGTGTTCAAGGGAGGTAATCACACTGGGATATTTATAACTAAACAACACAAGCTGTTGGAGATTAATGAAGGGGAGCAAGTGAAAGGAGTAAGTTTAATCTCTATTAATGGTGTAAAAAAAACTTACCTACCTACTTATTGTATCTACCCTTTCCAAACTGGCATGAGTTCTAGTAGGGGGAATAAAGACATTCTTAGGCTGGACAAGTGTAATACTTTAAGCTCACCTTAGAATAATGGCTTTATTGTAGTTTAGATGTGGCCAATAAATTTGAATATTTATAGAAAGGTGGCACAATAACTTAGTTGGTTAGACCACTGACTGTCACTCCTGAGGTCCCGGGTTTGATCCTGGATAACATCCTTTGGAATTTTCAGAGATACTTTCAATGTTTTCCTCCTACCTAGAGGTGCACTGGTAAGAAATCCAGGTAATCCTCGCATGTATCAGTGCAATACACAGGGCATGTAAAAGATCCAAGGGGTGTCTATTCAATAAGAGCCAGGGACTGGTTCCCAGATTCCCTTGTATCTCATAGCTGTCTCTGAAGTCTAGAGTTATGTCTATGTCCCAGCCTGGGGTTAGACATTTATGGAAGATAGATATTTCTTTATCAAATTTGAACTGTTTATACATGTAGAGCTGTATATATAGAGTAAATGTTGAGTCACATAATGCAGGTAAAATTTAAAAAAAAACTTTTTATTTTTACATTATGTCATATTTTTTCAATTTTAAACTAAACATCATCTGAATAATCAAAAACTACTGTGACCCACAGAAATTTCTATAAATATCCTTCATTATTTATTGTTTTTCTTCATTTTATAAAAAGAGTGGGACAGTCTTTTAATATTTCAGGCTATTTATACATTATGTTATTATCAGTTCTTGTTTAATTCAATTGCCATAGTTATAGTTAGTCTTTCAAAATATATATGTACAATTATTACATGTAAATGATCTCAGCCCTTACAGTGAATAAATGTGCATACGGTCACTTTAACTTGACTGATTTCTGGATTTGCTTTTGAAAATAAAATGTCAGGAATCTTTTCTGTTTGGTGGAGGTATTATTGAATGGTTTAAATATTTCAGATTATATTCACACCAAATGAAAGAGTTAACCCAGTTATCACAAATCTCAAAGGTTGTTGCTTAGATGATTTTCATCGTCTGCTAGGCGGTGAAATCATAAATAAGAAAAAAGAGAAGGAACTTTGTCTGGAGGTCAGAAATAGCAAACAAGGTAAGACTGACTATGTCACTCTGTCACATGACAGATATTATAGATTTATTGCTCAATAGTTTTAGATAAACTTTTAGAAACACTTGACCATAGGTACATGTGTAAATAGATTTAACCTTTAAACATATCATGAACCAATCAGTGGATTTTTACAGAACTTTGTATTACACACCCTAAAATGTTTTTATCACCAGACAAAAATTGTGTATGCTCCTATCATCTCAGAAATGTTATTTTACCAAAATATTAATTGAAGTCATTGAAATTTGTTATAAGAATATTTCAGTAGCCATCTCCTGTGGCAGTTTTTGTTTGTATTATAAGGAAATGCAGACCCGAGACCTAATCTGCTGTGAAACTTAAGTATTCAATGATATTTAATTCTCCAGTTTCAAGTAATTGCATTTTAAGCTAGCCATCTTTAAATATTGATAAGGAATTGTGGGACCAAAAAGTCTGTGTTTGTTTCTATAGAAATAAACCTTATAAGTAGATTGCAGTAATACCCTTTAGGAATTAAGCTTAGATTGGGAAACTGGTTTTAGATTGATGGGATAGGGTTATGGTAAGCTGTTTATTGCATTTAATTAGGCTTTAAGTAGCTTTTTATTCATATGGTAATGGTCATAGATAATTTACAACAGAAAGGTCTTTATTGTGCTTGGTGAAACAGCATGCGATATTTTTTTCAGACCTGTTCCTTCTGGATAGTGAATAATACATATGTTTCATTTAAGATGCCAATAATATGTTATAGAATTATGCATGGAATTCAAAATTGACATCAATAGAAATATTTAAAGTTTTACTTAAAAGCTCAATTTATTAGATAATTGATCATTTTGTTAGTTTGACTTGTTTTTCGAAGAAAAGAATAGAGGCATTGTTACAGTCATGTCGCCTTCCCATTGCTGTTGCCTTTCCCCAAACTTTAACATTGATCATAACTTTTTAAGTTCTTAGTGTATTATCTTCACATGGCCACAAGAAGACAAGACCTTCAAGTAGACCAGACTAAACTTGACCTTCATCTCTAAATGACCTAAATCTTCAAGGTCAAATGTCTAAATTTTGCTTGATTTTTGTTGTAAGGGGCTATAACTTTGTTACTTTTGAATGGATTGTCTTCAAACTTGATCACAATGATCTTTTAGGATAGTCCTTAAAATTAATGATCTTGAAGGTCAAATTATTGAAATTTTCAGTTTTTGCTATAAATGACTTTAATTTGTTATAATGAATGGATTGGCTTCATATTAAGACACAACATTCTTTAGGATAAGACTTTCATGTATACCAAACTCAAACTAACCTTGGCTTATATATGAGCTAAAACTTAAAGGTTAAATTATTGAATGTTACTGATTTTTGTTATAAATGACTTTAACTTGGTAATAAATAAATGGATTTATTAATATCTTCATACTTTGGACAAGTCCTTCTAAATAGGTTGAACTGACCTTGACCTTTAAATGATCTTGACAGTCAAGGTCAAATTTTATTAAATTGTCATAATTTTGTAATTTATATATGGATTTGATTTTTACAAAACTAGATGTGCTACCAAACAAAAAAATATGCCATCAAGGTCAAGTTAATGATATTTTCATGTTTTTTTCCTTGTAACTGGCTTTAACTTTGTAATTCATAGATCGATGGATTAACTTCATATTTAGACACAACATCTAGGTCAGGACCTTCATGCTGAACTGATATGACCATGAGCTTAACATTTAAATGACCTTGACCATCGAGGTCAAATTATTGAAGTTTGCTTATATTTTCTTAACATTGTCATTTTATAAAGAGATGATTCATACTTGGACAAAACAACATGTGTGCTGCCTTGGCAGACTTATTAGAATGAAAAAAAAGGGAAAAACTAACTTTTTTTTAAAAATTTCTTTTGTTTTGTATAGAAAAAGTTTAAAAAGTCAAGCATTGTCCTGGCCCGGTGGTGGCTCTTGTTGATATGCTAATTTGTATCCATGGCAACAAACACATACATTATTAATTTTATATTATACTGATTATGATCATGAGAAACACATGACAGTCAAACATCTTGTGTTTTAAAATTTAACTTTCCTATTTCTAACTAAAGGTTGAAATATATGGCTACCAACATTCCCAAAGCAAATGAGTGCCAAATAAAAAAAACTGTACAAAATGTGATCCTTTCTTTTATCTCAGACATAATATATTTTAATACAAAAAGAACTATAGTTCTTGGGATGGTAGTACTCAAAATTATTTACATTTGCAACAGAAAATCAAAGATGTAATTTTGTGGTTGTTTTATGTTTGCTTGTTGCATCATTGTTGTATATTTAATGTTGTTATTGTTGCATCATTGTTGTATATTTATTGTTGTTATTGTGGCATCATTGTTGTATATTTAATGTTATTGTTGTTGTTTATTTAGAGTACATGTCTGCATGCAGATGGATGGAGAATAACAATGGGCATGGAGATTACTTCTTTATTAGGTACACAATATTTAACATACTGTAGAACCTTGATAGTAGGGCCTGTTTCTGTATTAGGTACACAATATTTAACATACTGTAGAACCTCGATAGTAGGGGCCTGTTTAAATATAGGAGGATATATCAAAAATAAGCACATAATTTTGCTTTTGAAAAATTACATTCAAAAGTAAACATATCTCTTTTTTCTAACAGGAAATTTGTATCTGAAAATAAGTGCAATTCCTTTTCTTACTGTCAGCTTTAAAGCAAAAAATTAAGGGTGTATATGTATGTATCTTTTTTTGGGGCAAACTATTAAATTATAGCCTATTTACAACTGCATATTTAAAAGAGGCCCATAAATGCTTCTTTAAAAAATTTTATAACTAATTTATTATCTTAAAAGTGTGAATTTTATACCCCCTTCAAAGAAGGGGGGGAATTTTTTTGCTAATTGGGTTGTTTTTCAGTCGTCGCCCTGCCGTCTAGACAAGGGTTTCCGCTATTTTTGAAAAGTATTTAAACAAAGTCTTCAATTTCACAAGTGATTGGTCAAAAATATAGATACCCTATTATTTGGGTCATGGGAAAGGGGTCAAGGTCACGGGGCCCTTTTAAAAAATGGTTCCGCTGTTTATTTGAAAATATGTACACAAAGCTTCATATTTCACATAGGTTTTGTCATCATATAGATGCCCCTATGTTTTTGGGGTCCTGGGAAAAGGGTAAGCACGGGCAAAGTAAAAGGGTTTTCGCGTTTTATCTTGAAAATTGTATAAAAAGTTCATTTTCACAAAAGTGTTTGGGTCATCACTATAATGCCCCCATTGTTTTGGGGGTATGGGTAAAAGGGTCAAGGCACAGGGACCTTAAAAAATGTCAAAATGGTTTTGCGATTATTTAAAAAGTTTTTATCAAAAGTTTAAATATTTCACACAGTGTTTGGTCTAACAGAGATCCCCCTATAGATTTGGGGTCATGGGAAAGGGTCAAGGTCACGGGGGCTTAAAATTCAAAAGGGTTTCCTCTGATTATCTGAAAAGTAGTATCAAAATCTTCAATTTCAAAAAGGTTTGGTTTCATAAGATGCCCCCATTTTTTTGGGTCACTAGGAAAAGGGTCAAGGCCACGGGGGCCTTTAAATGTCAAAGGGTTCCGCTATTACTTGAAAAATTTCATCACAAATTTTAAATTTTTCATCTAGTTATGTCATAATAGTAGAGATCTTTGATCGGGTCTTTAGTCAACAGGTCAATGTCACATGGGCCTTAAATGTGAAAATGTTTTCCATTGATTTTTCCATAATTGAACAATTCCCTGTACCCATTTTTGGCAAGTTTCTGTAATAAAATTACCAATTATGTGAGTCAATGGCTAGAAAGGGGGGTATATGTTTCGTTCGACATTCTTGTTTAGATTAGGAAATGAAATTAAGTTCTATTAAAGTAAAGCTTGTTTTGTTCAATGGTTTGAATTACATTATTACTTTATCATAATGACATGTTATATTATTTCTGCTTATTTTTTGTGTAATGTTAATTTGGGAGTTTTTTTATACTATTAATGCAAGTGTAGCATGTGACTTAGAAATTTGTACTGTTACATGGTAACAGTATTATTTAACAGTATAAAATCTGGTAACATGGTCTTATTTTCTAAAGAAAATATAATAAATTCATCATAAAATCATAACAGTTATTGTTGATTATTGTTTGAGGTAATAAAATAAATAACACATTGTGTTTATGAGTAACAGTAAAAATATCATCCCAATGTAAAATCACTATTACCCTTGGCTAATACCTCGGGTAACACTGTAATTTCCTGTATTATTTATATACTGCTGCATAATCTTAGTTATATACAGTGAAACTCAGTTATATAGAACTTGTTTGGACCTTGACATTTAGTTTGCTGTATCTGAGGTTTCTTATAAACAATATAAGGAAATAGTATCTTATAAATATAAACAACATTTTGCTATACATGTGAAGGTGTGAAAGCATGTTACCAGGAAACAACTTACCTTCTATGGTAAATGGTTGGTTTTGACCTCAATATGCAGTTTCTTGTAACACTATAAGCAAGTATGCTATAAACAAAAAGTTTTATATAGGGGATAAAGAACGGGAAAAATTGGGACCCAGCGGATTTGTTTCTTATAACAGACTTTTCACTGTAAGTGAGTTCCACTGTATATCATTTTCCACTGTTTAGTATGCTCCCCAAAGATGTTTCTTTTTTTTGTCCTGGCTGTTTCACACATAAAATTCACTAAAGTTTATAGATAGCTTCACTACCAAGCTGAGCTGTATCATTCAGTATGACCCAGATTATTGATGTCTCACATTTTCATTTACCTCTCATACCTGTTCATCTGCTATTTTTGTCTGAACTATTTTTAAACAACCATTGGTTGGAATATGTATAAAATGTGTTAACATGTAAGGACCACTTTTAGGAGCTAATCATATTGGCAGCATGATACTAGCTCATTTAGCTATTTATGTACACTAAATATGAAAAATGTAAACAGATGAGATATTTTGTATGAAGCATTAACTCTAAGCTTGCTGGCAGTCTACCCCTGTAATTAGTGCAGACAAGGATCGGCAGTGCTGTCTGATCATGGTCTGCACTGTTTGCTATTATCAGTACATATTTTGACATATTCCTTAAAAATATGAATGGTTTGTTAAGTTTGAAAGATGGACATGTCCAATTAAGATATTTAGTGTAGTAAGGTTTAATAAATGGACCTTTTGTTAGGTCAAAATTTACCATATTATTGGGTTAAATCTTTAGGCAGAGCTGTCTGATGTAATCATGAAAACGAAAACCTACCATTACTATCCACGGCAATCCTTTATTTTAAAGGGTCATAAATAACCTTCAAGAGAGCACAAATTAATGAAGTCAAAATGCTATCCTCTAATTTTCTTGATATAATACCAGATAACTCATGACCACAGTTTCTGGTTCTTAAACTTTTTATTTCCCTTTTCTTTCTTGTTTCATTCAAAAGTTATTTTGATTAAGAAAGAAAACCGTTTTTATTAAATACCCATTGATATATACATACATGTATACTTTTCTTTAATGAAGTAACATAATAATTGGATTATAAATAAGCCCCTGGCTTTAGGCAGTCTTCAGGCAGCTTCTAGCTTTCCCAGAGCATATGTTATACATGCATGAAAGGGTTTTAGTATTACTTGAGACAAATGTTCACCACAATGAGATGTCATTTGGAGGGCCTGAGCCAGATCTCTAGGACAAAGTTCAAAAGAAAATGCCTATTTTGAGCAAAACTTCTCTATGCATTCATACATCATACATTTTGATACAACTTGGCACATAAGCTCAACATTGTGAGGCATGGTCATAATGTTGTGTGCAAAATTCAGCTCCCTTTTGCCAAGGTCAAGGTCACATACAGAGGTCCAAGGTCAGATAAGTAAATGAAAATGTGAGTATTGTGTGGTTTTAAAGTAAATGTTCACTGTGACTGGGCTTATTTTTGACAAAATCTTATTACATACTGTAATAGAACTTCTTCTATTGATATTTGTGATTGAAGGGTTGTTGGTTACACACACATATATATATAATATATATATATATATATATATATATAATATATTATATATATATATATATATATAATATATGTCATTAACATAGCTGTGAGGTAAAAAAGACTTACTTAAGGGATGAACATTACTTATTTGTTTTAGGTTTTTAAAATCATTTTACATTTTTACCAGAAACTATGTGCATATTTGATACCAGCAGATAAAGTAAATATCTTTTGTTTGATATAACATTTATTTATAAAGCAAAACATGTATTAATTGATATCTAAATTTGTGTTGGTTTTGATCCATTTGTCCTATTCATTTATTACAGTAATTCCATATTGAACATGATGCATCTATATAAATGCTATCTGTAAATATGATGGAATAAAATATAATTTATTTGATTATGGTTTAAACCTGTAATCTTATTGCCATTGTTGTTCGACTTGAACGCCTCAAGCAGGTTTATGAATTTAAGTTAATACTCAAACTGATATTTAAAGTTACATTAAATAAATATGTAAAAATATTTTGCCGTCGGCCTAAAAATCAAACATTCTACAGTTTCATGAACCTGTTTAATAGTTTTGTTGTAAATCTCATCAAATATTGTTCATAAATTAGGATTTTAAACGGGAAACCCCACGGTAACACTAAAGTTCGTATACGAATTTTAACATGCAAATGAAGACAATAATGAGCTTTTGTATGCGCTACGTCACAGTTTTATAGTTGCTATCCGGAACACAGCAAATGTGATATTTTCTTGTCCAAACACACTTTAACCGTTTAAGCTTCACGGTGCACTAAACCTGGGGTTCAGTAAAAGTAATCATCTCGTAAAAAGATTAAAATTGTATGAAAACATCCGTTACAATGCGGAAATATACCGTTAAATAACGACTGCTACTTATAGTCATGTTTGTTGATTTAATATCGATGTACGGATGATCCGAAGGCGGAGTTTCTCATGCAAACAAAAATTTTACTTCCCATTTCGCCACAATGAGGTTACCTATTTTAATGCTAATAAAACTCATTCTGGTTGCTTGGACACCAAAATAAGACCTGGGGTCGATATAAAACCCAATTTATAACTGTTATGTCGCTATTTAGTTTTTTATGAAATGTATTAAATGTAACTTTAATGTCCTGAGTTATTGTTGAACTTAAAGAATAAAAAAAGGTAGAACTACCGTATGTGTTGCAAGGGATTGTCATGAAGTTATAGAGGCTACATTTATACAGTATATAAATAACACATGGGTTTGTGGGTAACAGTGAAAATATCACCCCGAACAAATACTGTAATCTATTGTACTTAATTTTTTAGGGAAAAAGGGAAAAAAATATGTGACTAGATTTTTATACCGTTAAAAAGTACTGTTACCCTGTAGCAGTATAAATTTCATAGTCACATGGTACACATGCTTTAACAGTAAGAATTACTCCCTGTAGCCTATGGCAAATTAACAGTACAAAACAGTGAGCGGTAACAAGTAAAA